GGGTTAGAGGCGTAGCGTTTGTTGGCGGGTCAACAGGTGTTGGTGGGCGGGGTTAGAGGCGTAGCATTTGTGGGCGGGTCAACATGTGTTGGTGGGAGGGGTTAGAGGCATAGCTTTTCTGGGCGGGTCAACATGTGTTGGTGGGTGGGGTTAGAGGCGTGGCGTTTGTGGGTGGGTCCACAGGTGTTGGTGGGCGGAGTTAGAGGTCACTCACAGATTCAAGTTGTTTCCAGGAGCTCTCAATGTGCTGCTGGGTACGGCGGCCATCTTGGAAATGCTGCAACAACAAAACAAAAAAATAAACTGGTCAACACATTTCTATTTCATTGGTCAGACTTCTTCATCATCTTTAACTAGTTTATATTTAATTTCATACCTTATTATATCTTTCTTTTTCATTTAGAAATTTGAGATTAAGTCTTATTGTCCATGTTTGTTGTTTTTGTATTTATTCTAACAGAAAAGACCTCTCCTCAGACGCTGGTCACCTCAACATTCTCATTCTCCTCGACCTCGAATCCACCTCGAATCCTCCCTCAACATCATCGGAACTGCTCTCTCCTGGATTAAATCATATCTTACAAACAGACAACAGTTCATCAGCATCAACAACTGCACCTCCTCCACTGCTCCTCTGTCTCACGGCGTCCCCCAGGGTTCGGTGCTTGGTCCTCTTCTGTTCATCCTCTACTTGCTCCCTCTTGGTAATATCATACGTCAACATGGTCTCCACTTCCACTGCTACGCCGATGATGTCCAGCTCTACATCTCCACAAAGGCTATTACCACTGCTACTCACTCCACTCTCACCAGCTGCCTCACTGACATTACATCATGGATGCAAACCAACTCCCTCAAACTTAACTGTGATAAATGTGACATGATCATCATTGGTCCCACATCCCTCACTAGGCAAGGCAAGTTTATTTGTATATCACATTTCAACAACGAGGTAATTCAAAGTGCTTCACATAAAACCATTAAAAGCATCAAAACATAAGGCAAAAGAAAAGGAGATTTAAAAACAATTAAGAACATTCATTGAAACATTAAAAAACAGTGTAAGAAATAAAATACAGTAATAAAATGCAGAAATGTATCAATATCCTTGAATGTGGTTGAATTAAAGGCAGCAAACAGAAAAGTCTTCAGTCTTGATTTAAAGGAGCTGAGGGTCTCAGCAGACCTGCAGCTTTCTGGGACTTTGTTCCAGATATGTGGAGCAGAAACACTGAACGCTGCTTCTCCATGTTTAGTTCTGACTCTGGGAACAGAAAGTAGACCGGTCCCAGACGACCTAAGGGGTCGGGATGGTTCAGAAGGTAGCAGCAGATCAGAGATGTGTTTTGGCCCTAAACCATTCAGTGCTTTATAAACCAACAGCAGGATATTAAAGTCAATTATTTGCTGGACAGGAAGCCAGTGCAAAGACCTTAGAACTGGAGTGTCACTAAAACCGGTCACAACTTCTGCCTCACCATCGACAGCTCCACTCCGTCTCCCTCCCCACACATCCACAACCTCGGAGTCATGTTCAACAGTAACCTCTCCTTTGAACACCACGTTGACCAAATCACCAGAACTGCTTTTTTCCACTTAAAAAACATGGCCTGTCTCCGCCCATCACTCTCCTCATCTGCTGCTGAAACTCTGATCCACGCCTTCATCACCTCCAGAATCGACTACTGCAACAGCATTCTTCATGGCACATCATCCAAAATCCTAAATAAACTCCAGTACATCCAGAACTCTGCTGCTCGCCTGCTCACCCACTCCCACTCCCGTGACCACATCACCCATGTTCTCCAGAATCTCCACTGGCACCCCGTCCCACAACGGATCCAATACAGAGTCCTTCTCCTCACTCACAAAGCCCTCCACAATTAGGCCCCCCGCTACCTCACCGGCCTGCTTCACCACCACACTCCATCCCGTCGGCTCCGCTCCTCTGATGCCTCCTGTCCCTCCCACTCTGGACCAAGCACCGGACATGGACAGAGCCTTCTCCAGAGCTGCCCCCTCCCTCTGGAACTCTCTCCCCAAACACATCCGAGACTGCACCGACCTCTCCATATTCAAATCACAAATCACAACCCACCTTTTCAGAACTGCTTTTAATGTGTGACCATTATTGTGTGTTTTATGTTTTTAGTGTATAGCTTTTATCTGATGATTTTAATGTAAAGTGTCTTTGAGTATTCTGAAAAGTGCTCTATAAAATGTATTATTATCATCATTATTATCATTACTATCATTATCATCATTAGGGCTTGAGCACCGACGTCGGGCCGCGAGGTCCCTATTGAAACTGTAGGAATTATTATTATTCTCTCGAATGAAATGCCTTTTTGGGGGCTTTATGATGTCCCCAACCTCCCCATATTTGGCAAGCATATCAGGACTGCAGGAAAATTTGATATTTTATGGGTCCCATGCTCGAGCATGAAAAAATTGCTTGCTAGCGCCCCCTAGAATTTAGCCCCCTCATCCCGTATGTCCAATTAACTTGACATTTTACACAGGCATGCCACCAAATGAGGTCTCCAAAAAAGCCTCTTGGACCCCTAAGCTCCGCCTACCAAAGTTTTCCGCCATTTTGAATTTTGTGAAAAACCCATTTTTGCAACCTCCTCCTACACGCTGAGTCCGATTGCTACTAAATTTGCTGTGGATCAGTATTGGATCTATATAATAACATTGTATCAAAAGATGTTTGATATCTCATTACGTTTAGAAGATATGGACCAATGAACTTCATAAGGCGTGGCTTTGTTTTTCAATACTCAACTTCAAAACCATCTAACCTATAATCACAAAATTTGTCTCATATGTGTACATCGTATATTGTTACGCACTCTGCAATTTTCATTCCATTCATCCACTTGGGAGCAATACAGTAGTTAAGCCATTTTTGGCTTTTTTGTCAATTTTCAACGTTCTACTTTAACGAACTCCTCCGACAGAATTCATGCGATCGACTTCAAATTTGGTTAGGATGATCTAAAGATATTGATGATGAAAAGTTACTAAAATGGTCTACTGACATTGAACGACCTTCATTTTATGTGGCGCCCATTGCCGTGACAACGCGTCATTCACCATGAAAAATTAAGCAAATTTTTCTGTGGCTTAGGATGTTCAGCAAGCCTTGGAACTTTGCACAGGTGTCATAGGTGATGTAAATAAATATTTCATATGGCGTTTTGGCTTGACCGTTGAAAATTGCCTCGATAGCGCCCCCTACAAATATTCAAAAACGCAGCCCCAGCACTACGTTTGACCTACATATATGATATTTGGTAGGGACATGTATCACATGGAGACTTAAACAAAAGTATCTTGGGACCATGCTCTAAAACCAACCGGAAGTCGGCCATTTTGATTTTTGTGTGAATTTTCCCATGATTTCTAGTCGCTGTACTTTGACGAACTCCTCCTAGGAACTTTGTCAGATCCACTTCAAATTTGGTCAGTATAATCTAAAGACCTTTGCAATTAAAAGTTACTCAAAGCTTTACGTTTGATGGAATGGTGTAGCCGTGACGTGGCGGCCATTGTACATGATTCGCCATTAAACAACAAGTTGATGTAACTCCACTGGACTTGCTCAAATATGTCCCAAACTTGCCATACTTGATAACAGTCATGGCCTGAGGATGTCTACAAGCCAATTTTCACTCAAAGTCATAGCGCCACGTACTGGCAAGAGGAAGACAGCGTTATGTGACAAACGGAATCCGATTTACATGATATTTACATGATGTGGTCTATACTTGATGTTAAGCAACATAATGCATGTTTGCGCATGTTCTCTTGCATCACATAGTGGATACAGGAACTGGTGGAATATTTGCACTTCATAATTTCCAGCGTCACACAGTCCACGCTGGAAAAATCGTTGAACTCCGAGATGCGTTATCTGATGGTCAAAGACATTTGCGGCCGCATCGGCCGGCGTCCCGCCAGTACCCCCGAGACGCGGGAAGGTGCGAGGGCCGTACATCGCTGCTTGCAGCTTTAATCATTACTATTATTATTATTATAAATGAGCAAGATCGGTCAAAAGAGATGGTGTCTTCAGCTGGTTTCAGTGAGACCAGCTGAAGACACCATCTCACTTTGTGATGACAGAGAGATGCTTGCTGCTGCTTTATCATTTATTTATATATATTATATTATTTTTGACCACAAGAGGGTTTGAACGCAGGATTGACAGATTGTTTGCAAACCTAAACTAAATGATATATTACGCCTCTGAAATCTTTGCTATCGTCACTGAGCTGTTTCTCAGGGTTGATGTGCCTCATTCCATTTGCTTGTTTGTTTGTTTGTTTACTCACAGTCTTCCTCTCAGCCTTTACTTCCTGTGTGTATCGTGTCAGCTCACACACGATCTGTGTGTTGAGGTTCTCAGCGAGTTCTTCTCTCTGAATGGCGAGTTCACTCAACTGACGGAGAGTTGCTGAAAACGCCAAACACCAGGTGTACCTGCAACAACCAATGAGAAGCCAGCTTTACCTTAGTGAACCAATCACACACCTTAAAGCTGCTGTCTCATTAACATATTACCTCCACCTGTCGATGTTGTTATTGTCACTCTACACACCACACATTCATTCTCATTGGGGCACATTTATTGAGTATATTGAGAGAGAAACATGTCAGCTGACCTGCTCTCATCCTCTCTGCTCCTCTTGGGATGATACTTCTTTGACAGACTCCTGCAGACAGACAGGAGGACAGAGAGACAGGTTTATATGAATAAATGAATTCATATACATACACGAAATGTATAAGTAACATACAGGTGATGTATAGGTAACATACAGGTGATGTGTAA